TATATATATATATATATATTAGTCACCGTTTATTTTACTTTACTGATGATAGTTATTATCTTACAAAAGACAAACTCGTATTATACCAAAAAAGACAAACTCGTAATGAGCTCCAAACACATTGAAATGTGACCCCCGAACCCGAACGAACGAGAATGAATCTTAGAATTATTTACAATGTTAAGGGAGATAACCATATAATTCATCCAATCCAAAACTTGATTTTGTCTGAAAAAAAATATTATTATTATTATTATTACAAAATAGAACGAAAGATGAAATAGAAATCAAAACGCAACTTTGACCCAAAGGACAAACTGTGAAACGTCATCAGCGCGTGTAATTCATGTCCGGAAATCAAAGAATCTAACGAGTTTGCATAACACGCGCGCGACCGATGGCGCGTGGATATCAGACAAAATGAGTTAAGGGGTAAGTGGTCAGTGTTCCAATGATGAGGCTAAGGACAAAGGTCAAGTAACGTAACGTATCAATATACAAGTCTACGAACCCTAATTCGTAGGGACGTCTTTTAGTTAACACGTTTTCAGACATTTAATGAACCAACCAAGTCACGCAACTGAAGACCTGTTTATATATTATAATCAATTTGATACATATGGCAAAGAGTATCAAGGAAATCATAAGAATGATATTTTGATCATTTGAAATTGTAGATAATTTTTAAAAAATGAATAGATATTGACCTTCAGAGCTATTGTTAAGAAAAAAATAAAATATATATATATATGGAAAAATTTTAGATGAATTGATAAAGAATATGGTCAACGAGAGATTGAAATTCGACTATTTGCTCGTTCACATGTTATCCGATAGTTACGGTTGATTTTCTTTCCACGCAAGTGTTAAAAAAACACGTATAGGTAGATAAAATTTACCCAATCAATGCATCCGAAAGATATATGTTGGAAATTTAGCGATTTCACCGGAGAGCGAGCATGTAATCCCTAAATAAGAGAAGGAACATAATAATTGCATTTGTGGGCTTAGAGTTAGAATAACCGAAATTATTTATATTTTAGAGATTAATTTGAATCTCTGGCCTCTCCTTTTTTCTGTAGAATGGGTCCTCATATTTGTGAAAATTACCTTTTCTCTAGAAGTTGAAAACTCATGCCAAGTCAACGCCACTTCCGAACGGTCCAATATTAGCACATATCTTAAGTTGCGCAAACAAATTAACAAGTTATAGAAAAATAGGGTTTTGCGTTGCCATAATCTCTCGTTTTAACCTAATGAATGTGATGATCATATATAAAAGATCAACGCCAAACAAATAATGTGTCACATCAATATCTTAATCCCCAAGTTTATTTAGAAATAAAAAATCGCATAAATTCTTCGTATCCATTCACTACGGTTTTGAATTAAAATTTTCAAAATTTGGAACGACCTATTGCTAATAACTCGTTCTTAAATGCGATCAACTAACATCATGGAGGCATAAAAATACGATCATAGGACAAAAGAGAGATTCGTGAAAATCAAAGAAAAAGGAGAGGTTATCACCATACCTCATGAACTGATCTTGATTATCATCATCATGTGCAAGAGAAATAGGATCTGTAAGAGAGACTCACGTATATATCAGGAGGGTTTAACAAAGAAACCCTAACAGAAATCTATTGGCAGTATGCCCACCTCCCGGGTCACACATCTACACAGATTCATATACATAAACAGAGACGCATACATATGATATATATATATATAGGGAGGTGGACAGAATGCCAAAGAAATCTGTAAGAAACCCTTTGTCAAACCCGCATGAAAAGGATAAAAGCTTTAAAGATCGACACTTTCTGCCCTTTCGGATGAATTCTTAAAAACAAAGAGAGAGAGAGAGAGAGAGAGATCAGAGAGTGACAAAGATAACCGACTACGATATGGGGTTTATAAGGTGATGCGAGAGGAAAGTAAAGGTCGGGCATTTATGGTACTGAGAGAGGCATATGGGTTCTGTATATTTATGATGATGATGATGATGTACAGTTGTTATGAATGAATGATACAAATTTGAAAAAAGGGCATTACCAAAAAAAAATTTGAAAAAGGGAAAACAAAACCCTAGGACCTACATGAAGATATGGAGAAATCGAACTTCAGAACAAATCGTCTCGAAAACTGAAAATTTCATATCTGAAGAACTTAGAGAGAGAGAGAGAGAGAGAGGGAGATGGGTTTAATCGAATAACAATGAATAGATTGGATTCGGATTTGAAAAGACCAGAGATCTAACAACAACAACACATGAGCAGAAACAGTAGAAGAGAGAATGAGATTTAGATATCGCTAGCTGTAGAAAGAC